TTTCACAGGATAATGCAATCCAATAGAGTTATGTAGTGCCACTTATATGCTCGAACGAATCCGTCATCATGAAGCATGCCCTGCGACACCATACCAGCAAGCTACGCCGGAAACACAATGCGCCCACTAACCACCCACATGCCCTGGAAACCACACTTTTTGAAAAGGCCCAAGGCAAGCCCATCCCAACTACAATGCTCCCACAGCACCAAGTGGACAACAAATTCCCTACCATCAACGCACAAGTCAAAGGACCGCCCACCCGAGACGTACTTGGCCAACTACTGCCTCCCATGAGCACCCGCGGGCACACATGCTTCCCCTGAGCGCACCTACAGCTTTTTACGCTCCCTGAGCCAGGAAGCGCAACTCCCTACTCCCCCTAAACCTAGTCACAGCCAATCTGCCCTCATAATCTCACTATTAAGCACGATTCCCATGCTGCCATGATTCAATGATTATTCACTCCAGAGCGGAGGGCGCCCAGAAGCCAAAAACTACCCGCTCAGGAGCAACCCCACAAGCCCGCCGGGCAAACTGGGCCAATTGGCCTCTTCTGCCAGATTGCATCATCCTCACAAGTCAGTTCAACACGTGGTACTTCAGGCTCTGTTTTACTTGCTGGACAGAGCTGTGGATAGGTAAGCATTGAGATTATCTTTTAGGTGGTCTGCATTCACATAGGAAAGTGACAGTTGTTTACTTGATTAAACATTCTGCAGTGCCTTTATTGTGTTCCTAGGACATGTTCTATGCAGTGCTATGAACAGAAACAGTCCATGTCCTTAAGGGCTGGGTGTGTTTTCAGGCACCATCAAGATGGTGGGTATTCTTTCTCTTTACCACCTTGGCTGTATTTCAGGATAACATAAGCTGAGAAAGTCAATTATTAGCAATTCTCAGTGTATGGAGAATTACTTTTTCGAAGAGAGTTGAGGGGGATGACTTGTGCTGGATTTTTTTGCTTATAACCAAGATAGGGTCTCACTCTGTCATTCAGGCTGGAGTGCAGTGGCGTAATCATAGCTTATTGCAGACTAACTCCTGAGTTCAAGTGATCCTTCTGCCTCAGCCTCCTAAGTAGCTGGGACTACAGGCTTGTGCTACCAGGCCCAGCTCTTTTTTTCTTTTCTTTTTTTTTTTTTTTTTGAGACAGAGTGTCACTTTGTTGCTCAGGCTAGAGTGAGTACCGTGTCTTCAGCCTAGCTCACAGCAACCTCAATCTCCTGGAGTCAAGCGATCCTACTGCCACAGCCTCCTGAGTAGCAGGAACTACAGGCATGCGCCACATGCCCGGCTAATTTTTTTTTTGTATATATATTTTTAGTTGGTCAATTAATGTCTTTTTATTGTTAGTAGAGACGGGGTCTCAGGCTAGTTTCGAACTCCCAACCTTGAGCAATCCGCCCGCCTCAGCCTCCCAGAGTGCTAGGATTACAGGCGTGAGCCACCATGCCTGGCCTCTCTTTGATTTCTTAATGTTTTTTATTTGCTCTAGAATGTTCGCGACCCAACAGGAGCCTCCATTGCCCTCTTTACTGCCAGATTGCATCATCCTCACAAGTCAGTTCAACACGTGGTACTTCAGGCTCTGTTTTACTTGCTGGACAGAGCTGTGGATAGGTAAGCATTGAGATTATCTTTTAGGTGGTCTGCATTCAAAGGAAGTGACAGTTTTTACTTGATTAATGTCCAGTTGAGTCAGTTCCATGAAGGTCCTGGTCACTGTAGCAGGTGCTTTCAGTGTAGTTGTCAGATTGGGAGGAAACTAGAACGCAGTGGACTGAAGCTGAGGGGACTGGAATGAGCTTAAAGAATCTGGCCATCAAGTTGGGTGTGGTGGTGTGTGCCAGTAATTATAGCTTCTCAGGGGACTGAGGTAGGAAGATTGCTTAAGCCCAGGGGTTTGAGGCAGGGCAACCTGGTCAACATAGGGAGACTCTGTCTCTTAAAAAAAAAAAAAAAATCTCGCCATTGAGATGTGGAAAATGACGTCATGGTAGCTGTTGTTGGAGAGGGCCTCAAGTGGAGTGAGAGCTCCTGTTTGCAGTAGGAGAAACCTAAGCCTCGAGGATGTGTGAGGATGTATGCTTCCAGATAATTTTGGGGTCTGTATTTTAGTATCATGGTACAATGTCAGCACTGCTGCATGTTTTAAGAACTTTGATTTTGCATCCTAATGTTACATATTGGTTGGTGTTCAGGGTTGGGATTTTTACCGATGCAGAGAAAAATACCCTACATATGGGGCTGATAAAGTGGCTTTAGACAGGAATTCTGGTAACATTTAGCTGACCTGGAAAAAGGGGTAAAGGAATTCATAATTCATTTAGTTGACTTCTAAAGTCCCTTATCTCTGAGATTTGGTGGTTTCATGAAGCTTTCCTGGATAAACAATATTTTTATGTTTTGTGTTTTTTTTTTGAGACAGAGTCTCGCTCAGGTTGGTCTGGAACTCCTGACCTTGAGTGATCCTCCTGCTTCGGCCTCCCAGAGTGCCAGGATTACAGGCGTGAGCCACTGCCCGGCCAATATATGTTTATGTTAATACATTTTGCTGTGCTTTTTTTTTAGGAAACTCGAAGGAAGGAAGGCATTGTGAAGCTGAAACCTCATGAGGAACCTCTCCGTTCTGAGATCCTCAGTGGAAAATTCACCATCTTAGTGAGTGTTTATGACCCATTTTGTAGGGCCTCATTACTTCCTTTTGTAGCTGTTGTTTTGTGGACTTTGTTCCTAGATACTATACCCTGAGTCTAGAGAGTGTCCACAGTCAGGAACAGATGTGAAGCAGCTGTGCACTTTGGCACAAAATTATTTTAGTGATAATTACTAGTAATTAGAGTTACTACTAATAATTAAATGATTGAATTATGGAAAATCACTTGTACAGAAGAAAAGTTTCTTCATTGGTCCATCAGGATCTTTGGGATGATTATACAATGTGTCAGACACCTATCCTTCCTTATTTAACACAAGCTCTTCACTTACTAGAGAACTCAGCCTTTCAGTAAGTGTATCATGGTACTTTTAAGGCAAAGTATGAAAACCATGATCCTGTTCTATGATTCTCTTCTGCTGCTTAATTCTTTTGCCATCCTGCCTGGGAAGTTAGCTAGGAAGCTAATACAGAACCATCTTTTGATCTCTGTAGTTGAAGGGCAAAGACAATGTGTTTTGTTGTTTTTTTTTTTAACCACAGTAATATGGTCCAGGGTGTGTTCAGAGAATTAGGCATGGGATGCTATTAATAATCTTCCCTTTTGGGAGCAATTCGTACAAATCAGGGATATATCGACAGCATCTGTTCTTTTCATGTATCAAACCCTTATCCAACACATAAGCCTTAGTGACTATTGTGATTTTCTATTTGGTTTTTTTTTTTTTTGACCAGAGGTACTTGTGCTCAGGCTAGAGTGAGTACCTGTCTCACAGCCTAGGCTCAAACAACCTCAGCTCTGATCAGCGATCTACCTGCCACAGCCCCGATACAGAATACACCGCCACCATGCCCGGCTAATTTTTTTTTGTAATATAGTTTAGTTGTCATTAGCTTTTTATGTTAGGAAGACGGGTCCAGCTAAGTTCTAATCCAACCTTGGAGCAATCCGCCCGCCCAGCCTCCCAAGTGCTAGATACAGGCTGAGCCACCAGCCCGCCCTCTTATTTCTAATTTTTTTTTATGCCTAGAATTTCGACCAACAACCCATTGCTTCTTAAGCCAGATGCAGCATCCTCACAATCAGTTCACTGGTACTTCAGGCCCTGTACTGCTGACAAGCTGTGATAGTAAACCATGAGATACTTTTAGGTCTCATTCACAATAGAAGTGACAGTTTACTGATTAAATCATGCATGCCTTTGTGTTCCTAGGACTTTTTCATCAGGCTATAAACAGAAACGTCCATGCTAAGGCTGGTGTTTTCAGCACCATCAAGATGTGGGTATTCTTCTCTTTACCACCTTCTGTATTCAGGATACAATAAGCGAGAAGTCCAATATTAGCAATCTCAGTGATGGAAGAAACTTTTCCGAAGAAGTGAGGGGAATACGTGCTGTTTTTTGCTATAACAAAAGGGTCTCACCTGCAAGTCAGCTGGAGTGCAGTGCTAATCATAGCTATTGCAACACACTCCTGAGTTCAAGATCCTTCTGCCACCTCCCTAAAGCTGGGACACAGCTTGCTACCCAGGCCCACTCTTTTCTTCTTTTTTTAATAAAAATGATTGATGGTCCCAGGCAGGCTCAATCCCTGCCCCAACAACCACCTACGGCACTCAGCCCTCCTGAATGGGGACTTGAGTTTCGGTGTCTATAAAAATGAATACTGTTACTCCAGAGGATTTGAGAATCAACTTTAGGAGAAGGACCCAAAAGATAAAGTAGAAAACACCTTATAGAAAATACATGAAGCAAAAAGAACACTCAGTCATCTCCCCTCCTCAAGAAAGGTTAAATAAATCTATACAAAGAAAGAAAAACCAGAATAATGTCACCCTTTATTGCAGTCATAACATGGTATCCACTGGCTAAACTGGTTCTTTGCTCGTGCAGAGCTATTGTACCTACTGTATTACTTCTTGCTATCTCCTTTACCGGTTGCATCCATTAACTTGTGTAACTGCTCTGACATCTTGCTGCCTCGGTAGAAGCTATATGAGCGAGACCTGAGGTAGGAGAAGACAGCGTGATACACTCTGTCAGCTGTGCTTCAGATGAATAGCCAAGAAATTCCGAGGGGGCGCGTCATTTACTGACAGCCTTGTTTATGTTAGTTCATAGTACTTATTCTCCATTGATGCCCAATGAGATCAGCTAAAGCCAACACACACAGCATTAATTTTGAAAAGAGAGTAGGGAGAGGACAGTAGTCTAGGAGTCCTGTACTCTGTTTCTACACAGCATTCCACAAGTCTAAATATTTACTTAAGATGGGATCCAGCCTGCTGAAATTACAGTGCAGTGACATTTATTACAGGGGCGTGCAGGGATCTTTTGGAATGATTGAACAACCAGGTTTTCCTTAGGAGAAGAACCACATGCTAACATAGTCAAAGTAATGTTAGGAGCGTAAAATCCATAGAAGGGTTGACCTTCATGAAAAGGAATTCTTTTTTTGAGACAGAGCCTCACTTGTTGCCCAGGCAAGTGAGTGCTGTGGCACACCTAGCTCACAAGCAACCTCAACCTACGGGCTCAAGTGATCCTTCGCCTCACCCCGAGTACTGGACTACAAGGCACGCCCACCCATGCCGCAATGTTTCTATATATAGTTTGCCATGTCTTTCGATTATATAAGGACGGTCCGCTCCTCTCAGGCCGTTCAAAACTCTGACCCTGGAGCAAATCCGCCCCCGCCTTCACAGATGCCTAGATACAGGCGTGACACCGCGCCGCGCCGAAAGGAAACTTGGTTGATGTAAAATGTACCAGATGTTAGCAATCAGAGATGGAAAACAGTCAAGTTGATAACCAGTTAACCTGAGCATTGTCAGTGTAGGAGTTGGCTGTAAACCTGGATAAATCTGCATAAAAACATAGCGAGGCGGGAGGGCTACGCCCCATAATCCTAGCCCCCTGGACCGAGCGGGATCATTTGAGCTCAGAGTTCGAGACCACCGAAGCAAAGGGATACCCCATCCTCTAAAAAATAGAAAGATTAAACTGGATAACTAAAAAACCCCAAAAAAAAATAATACATTTTGTGTGTGTGTGTGTGTGTGGTGTTGTGTGGTTGTATAATTAAGCGGGCATGGTGCCACCTGGTGTGTGGTATAAATTAGCCGGCATCGTGGCGCATGCCTGTAAAGTCCCAGCGACTTGAGGCTGAGCAGAAAGCACTAGCCCAGTAAGTTAGTTCGTAGAGGCTGATTGCCACAGCACCTAGCCCAGCAAGAGGGAACGTCCCAAACAAAAAAACATACAGATAACCAAAGAAAATTATCTTTTGTGAGACCAATAGTCAGCTAGGCAGTTTATGGTCCCACTGTCACAACGTCTTTTGGGTGCGTGTAGGTTTCAACCTACTTTAATCAAATCTACTTACTTATAAGTTTTTCAAGTGGACTTACAAGCTGAAACTCAAGGAATGGACTGGTGTTTACATGACATTGCGTTCAATTATCCAAACTTGAGCGAGATCATTGGCAAGAAAACTAAACCTGCGAAGTAAGCTGGGAAGGCCCCAGTTAACTCTCTTTATGATTAGGATTTTTTGGTATCTGAAAGATTTAGAAGAGTAACTCAGAGATATATCATTTAAAGTACCTTTGAATAATGACGAATAATCGCTCCTTAGGAAGAAAATATCTAAAATAAGTGGAGGAAGTCAACTAAAAAAGCCACCAGAACATTCTGATCAGAAATGTATGGCCCTTTCTTGGAGTTATGTAGATCAAGAACAATAACCTAGTATGCACCTGGAATAAATTGTTTCAGTGCCAAAATAATACATTGAATTAATATACAAAGGAATACACTAACATACATGTTAAATTATATATATATATGGTTGTCAAAATCCTATTCCCAAACCTCTATCAGAACGTTTAATTTTTAACTGAAAAGATAATACATATGCACTGTAAATCAAGCAGTATATGGTCCAATAAAAGTTATTATCAAATTACTGGAGAGTAAAGCCTATGTCTTTTCAGTCAATTTGGCTCCCAGGAATTATGGTCCAAATTCCAAAAACCCTTAAGATTCAGACTGTAGATCAGAAGACCAATGAAAGGTATTGTTTTTTACATATTATAACGGTACCAAAACAAAAATTCACAAAAGAAATTTACCCTTATGTGCAGCACTTTGATTATGCTATTCTCATTCCATTAGAATCACATACCACCTAAACCTGATTGTAGGACTTACGGATCAAAACCTGTAGTGAAAACCATTCGAACTAGAGTAAATGATCTAGGAGTCTAGTATTTATCTAGGACCATTCAGAGTACGTTGAACAAATATTATTATATTTATATATGTTATTATTATTTATGAGACAGATCTCACTTGTCCCCTGGCAGAGTGAGGCATGGCACAAGCCTACCACAGCAACCCAAACCCGCCAAGCATCCTCCTCCTCAGCTCCCAGTACTGACTACAGCATGGCACACCATGCCCGCAAATTTTTTATAAAATAGTTTAGTGGCCAATAATCTTATTTTGTAAACGGGGTTCAAAAGCTCAATCGAACTCCAACCTTCGAGCATCCGCCGCCTCGGCCTCGCCAGAGTGCTAGATATAGTGGAGCCACTGCGCCCGGCAGATTTTATTTATTTATTATACTTTTTTTTTGTTTTTTTGAGACAGAGTCTCACTCTGTTGCCCAAGCTAGAGTGAGTGCGGCGTCACCTACCCAGCACTCAAAACCCGGCCTCAAAGCCCAACCTGCCTCCAGCATCCTAGTACTGAACTACAGGATGCCCACCATGCCCGGTATTTTCAATATATTATGTGCCAATAATTCTTCTATTTATAGTAGAGCGGCGCTTCTTCGCAGCTGGTCGACTCCTGACCTCGAGCAATCCTCCTGCCTCAGCCTCCTAGAGTGCTAGGATTACAGGCGTGAGCCAGTACGCCCAGCCACATCTGTTCTGTTGATGGCTCCTTGGGTTGTTTCCTGATTTTTTGCTACAGGTTGAACATCCCTAATCCAAAACCTGAAATGCTCCAAAATCTAAAACTTTTTGAGTACTAACATGACTCTACAGTTAGAAAGTGACTTCATGTGACAAATAACAACCAAAATGCAGTCAAAACTTTGTTTCATGCACAATTATTGAAAATGTTTTATAAAATCACCTTTAGGCTCCGTGTATAAGGAATATATGAAACAAATGAATTCATGTTTAGATTTGGATCCCATCCCCAGAATATCTCATTAGGTATATACAAATATTCCAAATCTGAAAAAATCCAAAATTTGAAATACTTTTGGTTCAAAGCATTTCTTATAATGCTGCAGTCCCAAATTCCTGATGCCGCAGACCGTTACCCATCTGTGGCCTGTTAGGAACCAGGCTGCACAGCATGAGGTGAGCCACCAGCATGCATGCAAGGGAAGCTTCATCTGTGTTTATAGCCACTCCCCATCACTCCTGTCACTACATAAGCTCTGTCTCCTGCTGCAGCATTGGATTCTCATAGGAGCACGAACCGTACTGTAAACCATGCAGGCAAGGGATCTAGGTTGTTTGTTCCTTATGAGAATCTAATACCTGATCTGAGGTGGAGCTGAGGTGGTGATGCTAGTGCTGGGGAGCAGCTGCAAATACAGATTATCATTAGCTGAGAAGTCTGACTGCACAATAAGTGTAATGTGCTTGAATCACCCCAAAACCCTCCCCGCCCCTGTCTGTGGAAAAATTGTCTTCCATGAAACTGGTCCCTGGTGCTAAAAAGGTTAGGGACCAGTGTTATAAAGGATACTCAACCTGTGTTATGAATATTCTACCTTTTTTTTTTGAGACAGTGTCTTACTCTGTTGCCCTGAGTAGAGTGCTGAGGTGTCTGCCTAGCTCACAGCAACCTCAAACTCCTGGGCTCAAGCGATCCTCTGCGTCAGCCTCCCAAGTAGCTGGGACTACAGGTGCATGCCACGATACCTGGCTAATTTTTCTATTTTTAGTAGAGATGGGGTCTCCTTCTTGGTCAGGCTGATCTCGAACTCCTGAGTTCAAGCGATCCTCCCATCTCTGCCTCCCAGAGCACTAGGATTATTGGTGTCAGATTATAAAAAGTAAAAGCAGTATAAAGTATTGTAGAGGCTGGGCATGGTGGCTCATGCCTATAATCCTAGCGCTCTGGGGTGCCAAGGTGGGTGGATCGTTTGAGCTCAGGAGTTCGAGACCAGCCTGAGCAAGAGTGAGACCCCATCTCTACTAAAAAAATAGAAAGAAGTTAACTGGACAACTAAAAAAACCCAAATATATATACATATGTGTGTGTGTGTGTGTGTGTGTGTATAAATTAGCCGGGCATGGTGGCGCATGCCTGTGTGTGTGTGTATAAATTAGCCGGGCATGGTGGCGCATGCCTGTAGTCCCAGCTACTTGGGAGGCTGAGGCAGGAGAATCACTTGAGCCCAGTAGTTTGAGGTTGCTGTGAGTGAGGCTGATGCCACAGCACTCTAGCCCAGGCAACAGAGGGAGACTGTCTCAAAACAAAAAAACATAGCAGATACCAAAGATAAATTATCTTTTTGTGAGACCAATATTCAGCTAGGCAGTTATTTTGGTCCCAGCTGTGTCACATACTGTCTTTTTGTGTGTGCGTGTTAGGTTTTCAACCTACTTTATCCATCTTATTACTTATAAATGTTTTTTTTCAATGGTTGACTTACAGCTTTGAAACTCAGAGGAATGGACTGGTGTTTATCTATGACATGTGCGGTTCTAATTATGCCAACTTTGAGCTGGATCTTGGCAAGAAAGTTCTAAACCTGCTGAAGGTAAGGCTTTGGGAGTGCCCAGTTAACTCTCCTTTAGTGATTAGGATTTTTTTGGTATTCTTTGGGAAAAGATTTAGGAATGATGTAAACTTCAGATATTATATTCAATTTAAAGGTCACCTGTGAATAATGACTAATAATCTGCTTCCTTAGAATGAGAAATGATCTTAAAAGTGAAGTGGGAGGAATTCAACTAAAAAATGCACAGGAACATTCTGAGTCATAAAAGTGTTATGTCCCTTTCTTGGAGTTATGTAGATGAAGAACTAATGAAAGCCTAGGTATGGCACCTGGAATAAATTTTGGTTTCAGTGTCGTCAGAAATATATTTTACATTTTGACTTAATACACAAAAGTGTATATACACTAACTATGTACATGTTAAATTATATATATATAGGTTCAAAATCCTATATCCCAAACTCTTAGATTCAGAGACGTTTTTAAGTTTTTGAACTGTAAAAGATAATACATATGTGCTACTGTATAATCAAGCAAAGTAGTATGTCTGCAATAAAATGTATTATTATTCATAATTACTGGGGAAGAGTAAAGCCTATGTCTTTTCAGGTCAGATTTTGCTTCCCAGTGAATTATTGGTCCAAATTTCCAAAAACCCTTAAGATTTTCAGAGCTATTTAGATTTCAGAATTGACAATGAGGGTATGTGTTTTTTTGTGTACATATTTATAAAACAAAACAAAAAAGTTTCACAAAAGAATATTTACCCTTATGTGCAGTCACTTTGATTATGCTATTCTCATTCCTATTTTTAGAATGTCAGTCATGACCACCTAACCTGATTTTAGGACTTACTGAGTCATAACCTGTAGTTTGAAAACCATTTTCGAACTAGGAGTTTCAAATGAGGTCTAGGAGTCTATGTAGTCTTTATTCTAGGACTTCATTTCAGAGTACTGTTGAACTAGATATTTATTTTGCTGAGTAGTTGGGGGACCTGAGTTTCTTTGTCTATAAAATGAATAATGCTGTTTAGCTCAGAGGATTTTGAGAATCAACTTTTAGGAAAGAGGAGCCCAAAAGTATAAAGTTAAGAAAAATCACCTTTATAGTAAAAACAGTAACATAAGCAAAAAGAACCAGCTCAGGTCATCTCTCCCTCCTCTAAGGTAAATGGTATAATTACAATTCTATTGACAAAGAAAGTAAAAACCCAGGAAGTTATGTCACCTTTATTGCAGTCATAACATGTTATTCCAGCTGGGTCTAAGATCTTGGTTTCTTTGCTCTTGGCCAGAGCTATTTGTACCCTACTGTATTATCTTCTGCTATTCTTCCTTTTATCCCTGGTGCTTGCCATTTATACTTTGTTACTGCTCTTGACATCTTGGCTGGTCCTCTGGGTTAGAAGTGCTATATTGAGGGCTGAGAGCTGAGGTAGTGAGAGACAGCTGTGTACACTCTGGTCATGCTGTGGCCTTGCAGGATTGGAATAGCCAAGAAATTCTCTGAGGTGGGGCTGTCTGTCTAGTTTACTTGTTACAGCCTTGTTTATGTTAGTTTCATAGTACTTAGTTCTGCCATTGATGCCCAATGGGAGATACAGCTAAAGCACACACACAGCATTATTTTGAAAAGGAGATGTTAGGGAGTGAGGACCAGTAGTCTTAGGAGTCCTGTACTCCTGTGTTCTACACAGCATTCCACAAGTCTAAAATATTTTCTTAGAGATGGGATTCCAGCCTGCTGAATTACAGTGCAGTGACCATTTATTTACAGGGGCTGTGCTAGGGACTTTTGGGGGTAATGAGTTGAACAACAGGTTCTTGGCCTCTAGGAGAGAATTACATGCTATACAAAGTCAAAGTATGTTAGGAGCGTAAGAAAAATCCATAGGAAGGGGTTGACCTTCAGTGAAAAGGAAACTTTTTCTTTTTTTTTTTTGAGACAGAGTCTCACTTTGTTGCCCAGGCTAGAGTGAGTGCTGGGACTACAGGCATGCGCCACCCATGCCGCTAATTTTTTTCTATATATATAGTTTGGCCAATTAATTTCTTTCTGTTATAGTAGAGACAGGGTCTCACTCCTTGCTCAGGCTGGTTTCGAACTCCTGACCTCGAGCAATCCGCCCGCCTCGGCCTCCCAGAGAGCTAGGATTACAGGCGTGAGCCACCGTCTCTTTATTTTAAAACAGAATTTCACTCTGTTGCCTGGGCTAGAGTGAGTGCCATGGTGTCAGCTTAGCTCACAGCAACCTAAAAACTCCTGGGCTCAACGATCTACCTGCCTCAGCCTCCCGAGTAGCTGTGACTACAGTCATGCGCCACCCACGCCGGCTAATTTTTGCTATATATTTTTAGTTGTCCAGCTAATTTCTTTCTGTTTATAGTAGAGATGGGGTCTCACTCTTGCTCAGGCTGGTCTCGAACTCCTGAGCTCAAACGATCCACCCACCTTGGCACCCCAGAGCGCTAGGATTATAGGCATGAGCCACCATGCCCAGCCTCTACAATACTTTATACTGCTTTTACTTTTTATAATCTGACACCAATAATCCTAGTGCTCTGGGAGGCAGAGATGGGAGGATCGCTTGAACTCAGGAGTTCGAGATCAGCCTGACCAAGAAGGAGACCCCATCTCTACTAAAAATAGAAAAATTAGCCAGGTATCGTGGCATGCACCTGTAGTCCCAGCTACTTGGGAGCTGACGCAGAGGATCGCTTGAGCCCAGGAGTTTGAGGTTGCTGTGAGCTAGGCAGACACCTCAGCACTCTACTCAGGGCAACAGAGTAAGACACTGTCTCAAAAAAAAGGTAGAATATTCATAACACAGGTTGAGTATCCTTTATAACACTGGTCCCTAACCTTTTTAGCACCAGGGACCAGTTTCATGGAAAGCAATTTTTCCACAGACAGGGCGGGGAGGGTTTTGGGGTGATTCAAGCACATTACACTTATTGTGCAGTCAGACTTCTCAGCTAATGATAATCTGTATTTGCAGCTGCTCCCAGCACTAGCATCACCACCTCAGCTCCACCTCAGATCAGGTATTAGATTCTCATAAGGAACAAACAACCTAGATCTTGCCTGCATGGTTTACAGTACGGTTCGTGCTCCTATGAGAATCCAATGCTGCAGCAGGAGACAGAGCTTATGTAGTGACAGGAGTGATGGGGAGTGGCTATAAACACAGATGAAGCTTCCTTGCATGCATGCTGGTGGCTCACCTCATGCTGTGCAGCCTGGTTCCTAACAGGCCACAGATGGGTAACGGTCTGCGGCATCAGGGATTGGGACTGCAGCATTATAAGAAATGCTTTGAACCAAAAGTATTTCAAATTTTGGATTTTCAGATTTGGAATATTTGTATATACCCTAATGAGATATTCTGGGGATGGGATCCAAATCTAAACATGAATTCATTTGTTTCATATATTCCTTATACACGGAGCCTAAAGGTGATTTTATAAAACATTTTCAATAATTGTGCATGAAACAAAGTTTTGACTGCATTTTGGTTGTTATTTGTCACATGAAGTCACTTTCTAACTGTAGAGTCATGTTAGTACTCAAAAAGTTTTAGATTTTGGAGCATTTCAGTTTTGGATTAGGGATGTTCAACCTGTAGCAAAAAATCAGGAAACAACCCAAGGAGCCCATCAACAGAACAGATGTGGCTGGGCGTACTGGCTCACGCCTGTATCCTAGACACTCTAGAGGCTGAGGCAGGAGGAATTGCTCGAGGTCAGGAGTTCGAACCCCAGCCTGAGCAAGAGCGAGACCCGCCTCTACTATAAATAGAAAGAAATTAATTGGCCAACTAATATATATAGAAAAAAAATAACCGGGCATGGTGGCGCATCCCTGTAGTCCCCTACTCGGAGGCTGAGGCAGGAGGATTGCTGAGCCCAGAGTTTGAGGTTGCTGTGAGCTAGGCTGACGCCACGCACTCACTCTAGCCTCGGGCAACAGAGTGAGACTCTGTCTTCAAAAAAAAAAAAAAAAAAGTAAATCAATAAATAAAAATAAATCATCTAGCCCGGGCCAGTGGCTCCACGCCTGAATCCTACACCTGGAGGCGCGGGCGGCGCGATTGCTCGAGGTTGGGAGTTCGAAAACAACTCCTGAGCGACGACCGCCGTCTCCTACTAAAAATAGAAAGAAATTAATTGGCCCAACTAAAAATATATATACAAAAAATTAGCCGGGCATGGTGGTGCATGCCTGTAGTCCAGCTACTGGGAGGCTGAGGCAGGAGGATCGCTTGAGCCCAGGAGTTTGAGCTTGCTGTGAGCTAGGCTGATGCCATGGCACCTCACTCTAGCCAGGGCAACAAAAGCTGAGACTCTGTCTCAAAAAAATAAATAAATAAATAAATAATAAATAATAAATAAATAAATAAATAAGAATAAATATCTTAGTTCAACAGTACTCTGAAATGAAGTCCTAGAATAAAGACTACATAGACTCCTAGACTCATTTGAAACCTCCTAGTTCGAAAAATGGTTTTCAAACCTACAGGTTAATGACTCAGTAAGCTCCTAAAATCAGGTTTAGGTGGTCATGACTGACATTCTAAAAATAGGAATGAGAATAAGCATAATCAAAGTGACTGCACATAAGGGTAAAATTCGTTTTGTGAAACTTTTGTTTTGTTTTATAAATATCGTATACCACAAAAAACACATACCCTCATTGTCAATTCTGAAATCTAAACAGCTCTGAAATCTAAGGGTTTTTGGAAATTTGGACCAATAATTCACTGGGAAGCAAAATCTGACCTGAAAAGACATAGCTTTACTCTTCCCAAGTAATTATGAATAATAATAACATTTTATTGCAGACAACTACTTTGCTTGATTTATACACGTAGCACATATGTATTATCTTTTACAGTTCAAAAACTTAAAAACGTTCTGAATCTAAGAGTTTGGGATATAGGAATTTTGAACCTATATATACTATATAATTAACATGTACATAGTTAGTGTATATACACTTTTGTATATTAAGTCAAAATGTAAAATATATTTCTACGACACTGAAACCAAAATTTATTCCAGGTGCCATACCTACCGGCTTTCATTAGTTCTTCATCTACATAACTCCAAGAAGGGACATAAACACTTTTATACTCAAATGTTCTGTGCCATTTTTTAGTTGAATTCGCTCCCACTTCCACTTTAAGATCATTTCTCCATTCTCTAAGTGAAGCAGATTATTGTCATCTATTCAGCAGGTAACGCTTTAAATTGAATATATATCTGAATTAGACATCATTCCTCAAATCTTTTCCCAAAGAATACCAAAAAAATCCTAATCACTAAGGAGAGTTACACTGGCACTCCAAAGCCTTACCTCTCAGCAAGGTTTAAACTTTCTTCCCGCCAAGATCCAGCTCAAAGTTGCATATTAGAACCGCACATGTCATAGAAAACACCAGTCCATTCACTCTAGTTTCAAAGCTGTAAGTCAACTTGAAAAACATTTATAGTAATAAGATGGATAAAGTAGGTTGAAAACTAAACACGCACCGGCATACACACAAAAGACAGTATTGACACAGCTGGGACAACAATAACTGCTGCTGATATGGTCTCACACAAAAGATAATTTCAATCTTTGGTATCATGCTATGTTTCTTTGTTTGAGACAGTCTCCCCTCCTGTTGCCTGGGCTAGAGTGCTGTGCATCAGCCCCTCACCACCAGCAACCTCAAACCTACTGGGCCCAGAATTTCCTGCCTCAGCCTAACCAAGTAGCTGGGACCTACGGCTATGCGCCCCCATGCCCGCTTAATTTATCACACCACACCAACAGCATCCCACCATCCCATCTTCACACACACACACCACCACCACACACACAACACCAATATGTATATATATTTGTTTTTTAGTTGTCCAGTTAACTTGCTTTCTATTTTTTTAGTAGAGACTGGGTTCCACTCTTTGCTCAGGCTGGTCTCATGTTTATTAAGCAGATTTTATCCAGGTTTACCCAAGCCAAACTCACCCTACATTGACATATGCTCCAGAGTAACTAGGTATCAAAACTGAAACTGTTTTCCCCACTCCTC